GCACCATAAATTATAATGTGATATATGTTTTCAAAGCTTTAGAAATCTCCCTACATTTCTTTTCCTTTCAATTTATTTAATGAATAAGATAGGCAGCTAGGACAAGCTTCTATTTTAAAGACCCAGAATGCCAGGTTCTGAAAACCATTTTTAGATGTTTCATCTGTCATTTTCAAGGGCTATGCAGAAAATATTTGCTTTTCTGAGGATGTCTTTTTAGATGGTTAATTTGCTATTGGGTTCTTAAAATAAAATTTAGGTGTAAGGAAGAATTTCTTCTTTGGAATACAGTAACCCCAAACAGCCCTTCTACTTAGATTTTATTCTGAGAAGTGTCTTTACAAGATGTATTTGAATTAATAATGTATATTTTATGTCTGTCTTTTCTAGGGCAAAGTATTCATACCTCCACAAAGTGGAGACACTTACAGCACAGTACACTTTTTCTTCAAAAGTTGAGGGGAAATCCTGATTTTTTACATATGCTTATATGTACTTTCATCTGTCTGAAAATTAAGTATAATTAACAGGATCTTTTAAATCTTTTAGAATATAATTTGGATTTATTAATGTAATCCTGTAAAAATTAAAAAGAATACTTTATAACAAGGGTCATTATTTCTTTAATCCTTAAAGTATTTTTCCTTAAGGAGTGTTTTAATACTTTGAGGATAAATCACAAGGGGCCAAAGCCTCTTATGCTATAAATGCATAGATTTGAACTAACTTTATATTCTAGGTTTTGTTCCCCAGCTATGTGTAATTTGATTAAGAATAGCCTTTTTTAAAAAAACAATATTTATACAGTTTAACAGTGCATGTGTAGCATTGTATAAAGGTGACATTGCAGAACAGATCAGTGTATTGCATTTCTTTAATAAGCTTTCAGATTGTAAATAATCTTTGTATATTAGTGTGTTTTCTCAGAAGTTTGGTTTTTAAAAATGATTCGCTCTTAAATCCTAATCTGAAAATATTTATGCATAATATGTGCTTAAGTCTGTCCAGAACCACAAATCTGCATATGCGTGCATTTTATCTATGTATGTTTCCATGGACCTGATTTCATGTTGCGGTCTGCGCATGCGCGCACAAGATATCTTACAATGTATCCACCGCAGTCCTTGGCTGAGAGGTACAGAATAAAGAAATGTTTCAATTATGATTTTTGCCATTACAGGATGGTTCCTTGGAAGAGGGAAGAAGCAAACCAAACTAACTGACTAAATAGAGCAGTAATAAAATAAACAGTAATTGACTACTTCAGCTGTTAACATTTTTTGCAAGAAAACACAACCATTGGAAAAATACCATTGAAAAAACCTGTTCTGTAAACATGGAACAAAACATAGACCATTAATCCATTGTAGATTTTTGATTAACAACTTTAGCCCTTTCTCAGGTGATGGGACTCTACAGCATGTGGTGTACAGTGCAGGTGATAAAACTGTCAAAAAGTGGTGCTCAGCATGGTATTTTTTAAGACTTGGCTTTAAAGAGTTACAAATCCACTGTTTGTTTAAGCTCACCTCTTAAAACCGTGTGTAAATTATTCGTGAGAATAGTTGTTAGATTGTTTCTAATGTCAACGGCATGTACCCTGATGTAACTTACAGTTGCTACTATTTCCCATACTTTAGTGCCTTTGTAGCCTTGCCAAAAGAATGAAAAATTATGATCTAATTGAGCTAGGCACTGAGCAAATGTACAGCACAGCTGAATTATTTTACAATATTTAAGCAATATTCAGGCATTTTTAGAGGGCATCCTGATGAAGTAAATAATAAAACATACAAAAAAGCGCTTAAAGATAAATGAAAGAAATGCCCTTATGCAATTAGTTATAAACTATAAGGAACAAATCTAACAATCCTGTTGCATATCCTGCAATTGACTTCAGCCAAATTGAAATTATAGATGTTCTTTCTTTGGAAAATTCAATCACTTTGACGAAGATGTTATAGTAAATATAAGTGCTGAAGGTATAAAAATGTCTATTTTTAAAAAAATAAAGTCATCTTTACACAGTTTTGCATTTTTGGGGAGGAAATATGCTTCCATTGGTGTCACTTGGAATTTTACCATTGATGTCAGCGATGTTCAGGAACTATCAGCAACCTGCATTCGTGTTATGCTGGGACAGAAACCTTCTAATAACTGCTTTTGTGCACAACATTAAAATGACAGAGTCTACCTGATTCTTGGGACTTGCTTATGGCAATGGGAATAAAAGCAAATCCTCTTTGGATCCTCTTGAAACGTAGAATTTTTGGAAAAATCCTTGTTTTAGAATTGTGGCTTAAAAGTTCCTTTGGTGTTTCTGTTAGAAGTTTTATATTAAACATCTATATAATATTTTATATTAAGCTTGTTTATTCTCATCTTCAAATTATTCTCACATTCAAATAATGTAAGTCTTTGGGGTTTGGAGGGGTGGTGGAGAAATCTGTTGAAGAACTTCACTGGAACAGGTGTGGATGCTCCTCTCCAGAGTAAGGCAGCAAGGAATTTGTCTGTCAGAGAAAGCGTGGTGTTTCAGCCCTGCTCTGTCCTGGAGACTGGAGGGGAGCTGGGTGGTTGGCATTCTGGGCTTGGGAAATCTACAGAGCTCACTGGAAACTCTTCTCTAGTAATGTCTCAGTCAACTTGTACAGGAAAAAGTACTTTACATTATGGGCACTAGTTTATAATCTTTACTATCAAAAGGTTTCTTGAAGTAAGGTCATTTTACTCATTGGATTTCCTTTATTTTAACTCTTTTTTTTTTTTCTTTCTTCCTGTTTCTATCATTCACTGTCATTTTGCCAGCAATTTAAAATTCATTGATTTTTGTTTTATTCCCAGCTGATCTTTTTTTGCTCCACAGTTGCGCTTTTTTAATAAACCAGAACTTCTTCACTCTTTCAGATTTTTTACTTTTGCTTTTTGATCTACCTTTTTTCTATAGAAAACTATTCCCATTCCCCTGCAAATTTCTCTCTCCAAAAAAAAACCCCCCCCCCATTTGCCTGAACCTTGTTACAAGGACCTAGAGTCTTTTCTATGTTTATTGAAATTGTACTTTGGTAGAACTCTGTTGGCCTCAGTAGTTTCACAGAGAAGGAATAAAATCCATTTTGCCTTTTCCTCGTTACCCATTTCAGTTTCCAGGTTCCTGTTTTCTTTTCAGTGTGAACTGATTCTGTCTGTATAGGGGGAATTATTGTGGTATTCAGACACACATGAATGTTCTGGCATTTTAGGGCCTATTTCCCAGTTTACTGAATAAGGAACAGTCTGGACTAAAGTCCTGGATTCAGCCCTGGAAATTGAATTGTGAACCTGGTTCTGCATTTGCTGATGGAGGTACAACCTGAGCTGAGTTGAAGTGACAGAAAACTAAGATAAGCATGCCCACTTCTATCAC